TTCACATTGAATCCTTTAATATTGTTTCGGCAGTGCATCGTCTTGTGAAAATTCATTTCTTCCTCTTGTATCTTAACTCTCAAATTCTGCACATCATCACTATAATTAACTACATGATTCTTCAAACATTACGGTTCTTTGTATGATTGCCAACACTTAGCTTCCTGGTTAGGACAAAGTGAACTAGTTTTCATAGTAGGTTCGTCGTTAAGAAGATCCGATTTATGAAGTATGTTTACCTACTTTTATTAATTCAAGGAATATATAGGTCATGGCACAATGTTTCGGATGTTATCGTAAATGTCTATTAGCGGCTGACTAATAATCTTGTGATCAATACTGCATAGAAGTACAACACTTCTTTGAATTGAGAAATCTTTCGTCATAGGTTGCACTTTATTTATTCAGGTGTAATAATTTCATATTATGCATGAACACTCCCCTCTAATTACATATTGTTGAAATTGCATATATTGGGTTCATACAGACAAAGAATACAGATGATAGCAAGAGAGTGGGACCCAAACGGGGTATTTTATTTGCCAGCTTGAACCGATACACACTCATGATACTGATTCCAATGTGTTTCACTAATTCCAAGCACCTCCAGGTTGTATCTATTCATTTCTGCAGCTATTTGGATGACTCTCCCGGTCTCCCACATTGTACGAGCATTCTATGTACCTAAATTAATGTTTACTCTGGTTGTCAGAAGGGGCATCTACCTCCTGACTTGACTTCCACCATGAGGCGTCATAACTCTTCTAAGTGAAGACTTACTAAATCCCAGGGCAGAGTCCAAATGGTTTGAAATATTTTTTCTGGTTAGCAATTTTTAATGAGTTAGTTTCCTACGGGATACGTCATGCGTTAATTAAAAAGGACTGCTATTTAGATTACAAAACCTAATGTTATTGTAAGTTGAATTTCACTTTTTTCAAATACTATATAGCTTTAATTCACACATATTTACCAGGTAACGAAAGCTTATCGCCGAGCTGTAGAACATATATGTAAGGTTCACGGAAGACCATATCCTTATACTGATGGGAAGTCGACAGATATCGCTGTTTTTACCTTGTAAAAAAGTCATGACCTTTTTTGTACAAAGTATATTTTTCAATTTAATGCATTCACGATTAACTCGCATAAATTCTCAAACACTAAATATTATCATCCGTTATACGATATAAATTACTGATGATTTCTTCACCCCATTGTATCATATTTATTATCCCAAAGATGTTAGTAAAATGTAATGTCCATGTGAAATGTCTATTAATTTCTACTAACGTTTAAAACAAGTTTTTTTTTTAATCTTTCGTTTCACCAGCTCTAGTTCCACGTTGTGTAAATAAATTTTCAACGTATCTCTTTTTTTTTATAATGGTGTGGGGAACGGATTAATATCCATTCTGTCTAATGAAAACTTCATACAGATATTTAACTTAATCATTGTTTTGTGACTTCCTTGACTTTAAAAAGTAGTGTGCTCATCTAGTGGGAAGAAAAGATAGTATGTAGACTAATCTGGTTTTTGGTTTATCTACGATGATATTGGAAAATATAAATGGATGACCTATAGAGGTGTTGGTGTATAAATATTCTTGTGATTTCTATACCAAATGATTGTTTTATACGATGTTGAAAATGTAACCAGCTCTTGTCTATCTTCTTGATATTCCATAGTGAAACTGTCTGTCAACTGGTAAGACAATAGGAATTAGACAAAACATCATATCGACCCACCTAGTCAGTCAGCTACAACGTAGGACCAGGCACATATGTACATCGGTCCAGGTTGCCATACCGCATCAGCACAACAAGATGAACACCGGGTTCATAGCAGTGGTTAGGTCAAAGGTAGTAATATATAAGAGAAAGATTGCATATAGAGATATAGTACAAGAAGAAAGAATTGGTTCGTAGAAAGAAAGATATGAAGCGATTTTAATCTCTTAGTTTAAGGGAAGACAAAGAGTGTATACACCGACGCCATTGTGATCGATTCTGAGCCATGTCACCAAGAGTCTCCAACCATTGGTTACGATAGTCACGCGGACCCCAATCAAGTAGTCTGCATCTACCAACATGGCTCAGACTAGAAGTTAGTGACTTCAAGCACTGATGCCACGTTTTGGTTTGGCCGCCCCTAACTTTCTTCCAACCATTTCCAATACCGGATAGCATTGCACGTCGTGGTAATCGGTGTTCAGGTATACGTAACACATGGCCCAACCATCTCAGTCGATGAAGATTCATAACCTCATCAACAGATTTACCATCATTCCCTAATACCCTGCGTCGACCCACCTAGTGAGTGATATAACTCCGTATGATTTGTACTAGGTGGTTGGTCAGAGGTTTATAAATCACAATTGTTGTCCTGAATAAACGAGTAGCATCAACAAATGTTTTTTTATAATCTAGCACATGAAAGTGAACGCTTCTGGATTTGTTTGGTAATTAACACACACCTCCATAAGTGTCCGACACAACTGATCTCTACATGCCGTACCTATGAACGCTGCCAACTGACTACATACAAATTTTGGTACAATAGTCCATCTAGAAGTGCCATACACAAAGTGGAGTGATAATACCACAAAGGGATAGATGCGGAACAGTCATAATTATTCTCATATACACAAGAGTTCAGATGCTACTAAGAAGTCCAAACCAAATCAGACGTCTTTGTCAGGGGACCTCCCTCTCCGAACTTATGACGTAAAGAACTAATCCACAAGGTAGACTAGAAACAAGAGTTGCGATCCCACAGTAGGTAGTAATCTAAGTTTATCCGCACGTCACTGATTCTTTTTGGACCTTAGGGTCAACGTGAATCGTACCAGCTAACCCGACTTGAGTGCCAGGTATTTGATTACGTCTTATCTTTTGTGGACACTCAATATGTGGAGATATTAGTTAGGATTTCTCTGAGAGAAATCATAAAACTGCGCTCGTACGTAAGCACCTCGAGAGGTGGTGAATCCTTCTCATCCTCAGTTCTGTCGGAGGATTCGTGGATTCTGTCGGAATATGCCACTTGTATTACGCTGGTCTAATTTCTAGTGAAAGTAGCTATGATCCGTTAGATATCAAGTTATGTGGATAAGGGTTGCGAAGTATACAGTTCTCAATCAGTCACATAAATAAGCATCCAACATGCTAAACTACTACGTTACTGTGGTGACTAAGTTTCAACAAGTGTTCTGGCAATCACTTGTTTCTAAGATCAGTAAGGGTGAAGCTGAAGTCTGAACAGCATGGCGAGATCGATAAAGTAACTCCAACACTTAAACAATGATTGGTTTACTTATATCCATAGAAATGCTTCGTTTCTAACCGAAAGCTAAGTGCGCTTGTAGCACCACTGTATACGATAAGATCAACTCATTCTAATTAACATTGTTAGCACAGTTGTTCACATCTGAAGTGGTTGGTTAACAGTGTCCCTTATCAGTTCAAGCACTAGTACATGTTGATTTCAGACCAAAGACTTGTTAACTTTCTGGTTCCCAAGAGCTATGTAATGCAAACTCGAATGCAACCACCAAGCTCTTTTCCACGAAATTAATTTGCATTTTCTGTCCCTTCCATTGGTTTCATAAATTACTATAAATTAGCGAAAAAGGATGAGGCTCCCGAGCGTGAATTACTACTAGTAAAGCTTAAACGCAACTCCCAGTTCTATACGCTATCACTCAACCTTAGTAAACAAGATTGGTTTCTGAACGAACATATGAAATTATACATAATTTAGCTTTCAGAAAACACTCGAAATATTACAACACAGAAAATGGCGATGGTTGAGAAGTACTTTCGTCAAGAATTGTTGCAACATTAGTCCTATAAATGTCTTAATTACTGTTATCAACCTGCTACATGCTTGTCAGTAGAATGATAATTTATGTATCTGGACTAGGAAAGTCGCTCTGCAGTGATATAACTAATGGGGAACTTTCTAACTGGGCTGTTTACTAGCCGATATTATAAATCATAGGCTGTTCAATAGGTCTCGTTCCACATAGTGTAGTCTATCCACACAAACCCTGCTCTTACTTTGCAAATAACTAGGGCTATGTAACAATGTGTACAACACCAAAAATCACAAACTTCATGAGCGAGGATAACCGTAAGACAGATGAGAAATATATTAGAAAACACATACAAGGCCACACACATTTGTACACAGATCTTAAATTCAGAATGACCCTAAATCATACAAGTCCCATATTGCAATAATATCTTAGATTACCAATGTAGACAACCTAGTCATCGAGGTAGACGAAGGACCTTAAGACGCGACAAGAGTTAATGACATATTGCGACATTATATCTTAAACTAAGTCCAGTGTATCCTGATGTAGCACTCATAGGGAGACCCAACGCACTATTAAGTAGTGAACAGACACTAATTACGGTTGATTACGTCGTGTATGTGGGAACCAGCGAAATACTGCAGAACACTGACAACTTTCAATCCCAGAGTCTATATATGTGCGTTCAGGTTAACATTTACAATAAGTAGGGTGGAAATTCTATATCGAGAAACCGCTCAAAACATATTTTTATCAACTGACGTCCCAAAGAATCAAATTGTAATGACTACTCTAGAAGTAAACATAAAAGACTCAAGCTTGTTAACAGTGAGTCGAGACAATGTTTTAGTGAAATGAAGTTCTAGAAGTTATTCAGACACAGCCATTTCAAATTCCTGCTGGCGAGCAAGTGCGATTCATGTCCCAAATGATTATAAAATGCTATGCAATACGGTTTGCCAAAAGGGACTTGCACGCTTTATACTTAGCGAATTTGACAAATACACATCTTTGATAGTATCCCGAAAGATGTCAACAGCTGCGTCTAACGATTTAACTAAATGTGCGTCAGTGAAAGACTGGCAACCAAAACCATGTAATTAGGACAGTGAACGCAGTTCTAGGTCTTAGAAAACGGTGCTTTTTGACAAGCCATGGATTGTAATTAGCACTAAAAAGGCTGTATCCGTTAGACAGATTTTATTTAGAAGAAAAATCCAAGCAGTTTACCACCTAGGTGTTTCCGATGAGCTTCTTCGTGATCCATAATCCCACCACTTGTCGTAAGTACAAGATAACTAAAAACAGAATATATTACCAAGTTAGATCATACCCGAACTGACGAGAAGGTAGTAAGTTCCTGGTCCACTTTTCAGTTTCCCGCACACCCATGTCGAATCTCGGGCTGATTACACCACATTTGTTTAGACGTCCATTTAGCTGTACCACAATCTTTCCAGCGCGATGGTCATCAACAATTTCAAACTCTCCTATATAACCCTTTCGTTGCATCACTCGTAGAAATCGGACAATAACTTTTGATGATGGCCGGATAAGGACTTGACGTTTCTTTCTTCTCTCAGCGTTGCATATTGACTTTAGGGCGTCAGCAAGTACGTTTAGCCTAACCATACTTGAGACTCCAAATAAGCGTGAGAAACCACCAAAACTAAATGTGGCGCTCGACCGAGCTAAGGATGGTCAGTGTTTATTAGGTCCAATATATATCTAAACTTCCACGATGTCCCTAAAATCATTCGTCTATTCCAGACAAATGTTGTTTTTGGAATTGAATGGAGCTGTTTCAAGTATTGATGGGTGAAATGGAAAGAGCGAGGTGTGGTCGCCAACCCCATGCACAACCCTTCTATTTTACCCGGACTTGGAACCGGCGGTGACCACAAAGGGGCTCCGAGCGGTGTTGCTCTAAAGACTTAGTAGTAATAAATGGGCTAACTCAGTAAGATTTCTTCCAACTTATTGATGTAACAGTATGTAACACCAGTTTGAAGTAGAATCCCTGTTCAAAAGACGACTGAGAAGATTGAACTCAAAAGAACAGAAAAATCAGAATAAAAACAAGGTTAATAAAGAAGGAACGAATTGAGCGAAGAAATTTCTTTTGAATTCAAAAGAAATTTCTTCGCTCAATTCGTTCCTTCTTTATTTACCAAATGGCGAAATGGGAATTTTCACTATATAAAAACAAGGTTGGAAGAATCATGAAGGATGTAAGGGGCAACTGTAAGATATGTGAGTTGTGTATTTGATGTGTGATTTTAACATTTTACCAAACCATTATGTGATTGTTAATTTAACATTAAATTGAATTACTCAACGTGAGTGTTTGTTCACAACATCATTGTTCCTAAAAACAATTTCATATTGTCTATATTAGGAACTTAGTCACTTATCGATGCAATCGATTTTAGCACTACTTGATAAAAATTTAAGAAAATATTTCGTGCTTTATTATTTTCGTTGCAAAGTGCTTTACTTTCAAACAACTTGTAAGTCTCTATTAAGCACCTCTACATATCCTAGATTCCTAGACTTATTATCACTCTCCTGTCCGATTTGCATCAGCTGACTCCGCTCGATTTATAATATAGCTTATCGGTATCCATAGGATTCTTATGAATTTAGAGATGTCACAGGTATTCTGAGTTTGACAAAAAATTAAACGTAACACCTTTATAATCGAAATATACGACCCAGTCGCCTCAGAAGTCAGAAATGCAGTGGTTCGAATATATATTGAGAAGGCTATCTATATATCGGGAAGCCCTTGGTCTAAGTTGGATAAAAGTTGAAAGGCGTACCCACCAGCGGAATTGTGTGTATGCGTGATCGAGCCCCTTCAGTTAGGTGTATCAAGTAAAACCAACGCGGTCAGCATCAATGCCAAAGACTTATAGGACCATTTGTTTTGCAGATTTATTTATCGCTACAAATCCTTTGGAAACCTCTGGCAAGCGATTATCTTCAATATGTCTGCTACTGAGTCAGACGGCACTTTAATCTCGCGTGGGCGTATTACAGGACCAGTGGAATTTCACCGGGCACCAGATAGGTTATCTAGCAGACAGATCATTCAATATCAAATGGTTTGCCGATTCTCTACAACGTCATACACGATCAACGAGTATCAATAAACTGAATATTTTGGACAAGCGCATTCGGAATGGGTTCAGCCTTTTACTTTTGCAGCTTGTTCGTACTAATGTATACAGTTGTCCACTGAGAGCATTTATTCTAGCTTGTCACCTGAATAAGACGGTAGTTAATACAAATTAAATATTAACTACAGGTTGGGAGGCCATCCAACTCGAGTCACCCCAGTCATCCCGCATAGATTGCATATACCGGTGGTTTATGGCTTTTCCATGTCAAAAACCAGTAGTGAAAAGCGAATCCCAAAGACAAACAGTGCTGCAATTATTGTACATTGATGCTCAGCTCGCTAACTTCGCTGGGAACGTCTGATTGAAGCCCCCGGTCGAGCATTCGTACCAGAACATGTCTGGATATGACGTGCTACCGTTAACTTACAACAAACAACCAGTTAGTAATAATGGTCCACTTGGGTATCCATACTAATAATAGACCTAATCCCGAAAGTATAGATTTGTAATGATGTTGCAACCTAATCTATAAGATCTTAAGCGGAAGCCACATAACTGTCTATTCTGACTCGTCATATCATATCCATCAGCAATATTTTCGACGTTTCTAAAGAATACATAGACTCTAGGCATAAAACAATATATTTAATATGGATAAAGAAGGAATGTTACACAAGAATGACCACGACTGCAAGGTTGAGCTATGCTATCCAACTAATATAATTAATTGTCCCTTCCCTCTCCATTGCTGACCCCCTCTTTGTGTTAATTTTTGCACATGAATTTTCTCAGTGTTCATGTGTTCACCTTCAAGAATTACGTGGTCAGAAACTAATACCAGTACAAGCTTAGAGCATATACCCATCAACGCATCGACTTTATCCCAAACATATGTTCGAATCTCGTTTAACTTTTAATTCAAATCATACCAAAAAAGAAGAAGACCTATCAATTAGTAGGTTCAAAATAGATTCTCATTATCAATAAACACAAAAGCCGAACTTCGTGAAATTCTAATTCGTGGTAATACCTTTTTTTCACCAAGCTCTCGATTAGTAATTTACATATGTACAAGTTTCTACTTGAAGTGACCAATGAACAATTGCTATATGACATGTAGGTTGATTTCGCTTATATGGACTTGTAATTCATAATCAGTTGCGAAACATTGGTATCTTGTATTCCGGGTAATAATTTGGTACGGCGCTCACCTTGAGCTTAACTTAACCTTGTTCACATCTCATCAATAACCATAAATATCTACTATTCCAATACCATGTTGTGACATTTAAACTCCTTCAATTGTATGAACTGTGGCTTCACTTTGCCAGTAGACAACCAAACCAAAAGTTCTGACAATCATAATCATATCAAGTATGGACCCCTGTCAGGCAGGTCTAGCCATCTCGATCAACTACTCTCTTCTTAGTTACTTCAACTGTAACATGCACGCGTTCATTTTCTTACAAACAAAGAACTTGTGGATACGTTAATTGATCTACATGATGTTGCTAGCTATTGTCGTCAGTCGTAACGTTACAATTCTAACTGTCGCCCAGATTATATTCTTGACTGGCATATATTCATCGATCTCTATTATCTTTCTCCTACCAAACACTTGTCCCGTGTACTTGTTCCTTCAATTGCATGGTACATCACTTCTTAGCCTGTTAAGCAGTATGCACAGTAATAGCGTTGCCATCAGTACTTACACCATAACTAAAAGAACGACTAATAGAGGTAGAGGTCTTGATTCAGAGGTTACTAATAAGTCGAAAATCCACATTTCTAGAGACAGAGTTATAAGAAAGCTCAAAACTAAACCAAAGAAAGCATCTCCGAATAATGTGTACAACATCGATCAGTTAACTCAAACACCGAGAATGAATCACCTACTAAGTAATTAGGATCACTCTCTCACCTAGGTTCCCATTCCAAACAAGACTTATAATCAAGAAAGAAGTTAAAGTAAAGTGTGTCTTCAACTGCCTGTCTTACAGACTACTAATAAAGAGAATCTAAACAAAAATGTTAATATTAAAACATACTCTTCATTCTTCATAACCAGTGACTCGACATTTCAATCCAATTTATGTAGTGGCTGGACTCACTGTGATCTGCAGTTTCTAGGTTATACTACGGGTTTATGTTAAATCACTTCTGTTCATGCTTCTGTCACATTTGCCCACTATGTATAGAAAATTCACCAATTGAACTGACAGGAGAGAAGCATAAGACCTCTCCTAAAATAACCACAGTCATCCACACCAGTATACCGATTCCGTCTCACACAGACTCAGACAAACACGAGAGTGTTGGAGCCACAAGCCGAGATCGTACACTAACGGAATAACTGATTGTCGTTTATATCGCAGTATCTGTTAACAGTGAGGAGCAGTGGGTGCGCACTGGGAAGGGAAATGACGTAGACTGCTCCCCAAGCGCCACAATTGGGGACGAAGACGTTAAACAAAATTACCTGATTACACTTAACGTCACAGTGTTGGGTAGTAGCTCATTAGAAATTAGGTAGGATAGCATTTGATGAAGAACAGTCGGATAAATACTGTGCAGTGACTGGAATGAGTATCAATCATCCAAGCCGTGTCGCTTGTACAAGGACCAAAAGGTAAAGAAAGGCAAATCCCCTCGATTGAGCGTAACTCTAGATTCAGTACATGTGACAGAGGAATCTTAAATAACATCTCAGAGACCACCGGTTATGTGATCCTCTCAAATTTGTGTTAGACACGACAAACTGTGGGTTGTAAGAGATGCTGACAGGAGATCAGCAAACATTTAATAACTAACCGGAATGGCGATTTACGGAGTACCTGAGCTAGTAAGTGATAATCGGAATGAGGTCCATGAACACGACATGAAACAGTGGTGCTGGCTACCACTCATCATCGGCCTTCACACAACTACAATGATTAGTGTGTACAGGCTGGTTCATCTTAAACACCTCATAATCAGGAAGTTTGCACTTCTGATTACTATGGACTTCAGAAACCGAGAGAACGTAACAGACATGCTTCAGGCCCGGTACATCTCGAAAACCAACCTCTTCAGTCACATTAAATGTGAAAGTCGACTTAGGTCAATGAACCAAATACAGGAAATTTAATCAAAAACACTTTGACTTTAGTTGGCCCTGATCAACACCTCACAATACAGAGCACAGACACCACGGTCTGATTAGTGGAACACGCCACACAGGCATGAGTTTATAGCAGCTGGTTAGCATGGAACTGGCTAACACACATAAAACAACAGTCTTTCTGAGAACTAGATGATGGATTTTAGTGTGCAGGAGAACCAGATGATGGGAAAAACCGTCAAGTGCTTTTATATCAATGTTGGAGTCCTGGTGGATAAATCAATAAGAATCAGAAACACTTACTTTCAGTTAGACCTGAAGATCATATTTCTCACTGAAATATGGTTGTCGTGAACACCCAGATATTCTCTCACCTCTTTCCTTTCGAGTTGCCACATTAGTAGTGCTCTCCTAGCCAAAGTAAATTCATCCCCTCAAGCCTATATCTTTAAGAGTAGACTTGGAAACCACGTACTCACCCATGGATTAACATCCCCTCTTGGACCCCATATCTGATACATGTCTCATAAATTATCACGGTTATTATCACAAAATACCTGTGATTACTTTCTGTCTCTCTTATTATCATTTCTGCTTTCGTTCACCCCTTCGATTACGTCTTTCTACACATTATCAATTAAGTAAATTAATGAGTTAATCTTGATCCACCATCTCATTGCAGTCGAAATATCACTACATTTCTACATTGCAACCAGCCAACCATCTGCCTGGTAACGTACTAGCTGCTGGTATTGAGAAGTCCTACTTTTGTGAGACAAACGCACTTATTAAACTGG